ATAAGCCTATGGGTGAAGCATGTGAGAGGTTGTAGCTGGTTGGGGGTGTGCAGTGCTGGTATTTGTTGCTTTATACACTATTATTCACTGTTATACTGTATTTGCTGTGAATTTTTAAATAAAGTCTGGCCGTATTGGAATTCTCTGGATAGTGCAGTCTGTTCGTATACTACTACATTCCACGGTGGAGACGCACCTATTAGACCAGCACCTGGGGAGTCCTGATGGCGACTAAGGAATTGGAGCGGTGAGATTTCCTTTGGCTCTACCATTCTTATGTCAGTTAGCTATGTTAGTTATGTCATGTTCTGGGTTTTTCGTCATCAGGCTTCTGTTGTGCAGGTTTGCAAGGCGGCAATCTTTTACCTGGTTTTATAACGTGGATGTAGTTACTTTTGCGGATGCAGTTTTGGGCCGCAAAGTTTTACTGTTTAGTTGGTAAAGGTGCCGTTTTTCTTTTGTTCTTGTTGGCTCTCACTGCTTTGGGGCATCCCTTCCATTAAATGAAGAAATTGCATGTGTCCTTTAACCACTTGAAGTCCGCGGTGTTTAAACCCCCTTCCCATCCAGGCCATTTTGCAGTATTCAGCGCTGCGGTACTTTGACTGATATTTATTCCGTCATGCAACGCTGTACTGAAATTTATTTTATACCATTTTTTGGGGACAGATAGAGCTTTCTTTTGGTGGTATTTAATCAACACTGCGGTTTTTATTTTTTACTATATTAAGGAAAAATTACAGAATTTTTTAAAAACAAAACTGTTTCCCCTTTATTAAATGATAAAACATTCATTATTACCCAATTTGTTGGTAAAATATAAGAGACGGGGTCACTTCGGGTAAAAAGACACCAAACATGTCAAGCCTTAAAATTGCGTGCGCGCGCAAAACCTCAAAAAACTATAATACCCCAAATTGGCCATAGGCGACGCTTTAAAAGCTTTTACCGCTCATCAGTTTAGTGTTATCAGTGATTGATGGCCCTAAAATGATTGCTCTCACTGCGACATTCGCGGCGATATGTAACGTGTGTAGCGCAATTGTCGTTATTGCGCGCTGGTGCACCGGACGCGTATTTACGTTTATATGTGCGTAAACGTGGGGGTGGGGAACTTAAGAATTTTTGGGCATTTTCTAAAACTTTTTTTTACTCTTTAAGGTGATGCTGGGGATCCAAAAGACCCCTAGACATTACATATGAAATAAGCTATTGAAGTACAGATCACACTTCAGTAGCTTATAGCTGGGTTTAAGGAGCCCAGCAATGACAACTATGGCACCAGAAGTGTTGCAATACGCGTCGGTCTCATAGTAAGGCGGAGGAAATCGGTGAGCGGATATTCACCGATCTCCCCAGCTTCCCACAGACACCCAAGAAGCCGGTCCCGGGCTGGTAGGAGGGGCAGCGGATCCCAGGAAATTTCAGTGATTCTCATTGATCCCAATGGGCCCAGTATTGTCTAGACCAGGGGTGCCCACAATTTTGTGTGCGAAGATCTACTTTTTGTATGACTGGCTCAATGAGATCTACCAGAACACAGGGTAGGTCCGATTGCAATAAACACAATGTAAAAAGGGTCATCTAATTACGGTGTGTGCGGATCTTTTGTCACTTGTTCACTGGAGGTGGATTACAGCATGGAACAGAACACAGAGTGGTTGTTGTTTTATAAATTGAACTAGCAATAGCGATCTACCAGAAATAGCTTTGCGATCGACTGGTAGATCGCGATCGACCTAGTGGGCGCCTCTGGTCTAGACCTACTGTCCCAAGGAATGGTACTCCATCCTGCTTCTCGGTCACGGGCTTTAATGGCCTGGCTGTTGAAGCCCAGGTCTTGAAGGACAGAGTCCTCTCTGAGTCAGTCACCCCTGTGCTTCTTAAAACTAAGAAGTCAACTTCCCGCAATGTCTATCAGAAAAGGCTGATTTCTCTTGTTGCAAAGCAAGGAAGTTCCTAGGAAGTACTCCATGCGATGCATCTTATCTTTCATCCAGTCTCGTCTACACCAGCATTTAGCCTTGAATACTATAAAGAGCCAGATTTCTGCATTGGGTATTATTATATTCTTATTATTATGCAGGATTTATATAGCACCAACAGTTTGCACAGGGCTTTACAATATAAGGAAGACATTACAATCACAATACAATTCAAGACAAGATGGTAAGGTAGGGTCCTGCCCATGAGGGCTTACAATCTAATTCGTTTGCAATGGCATTTGCCTCTCATTCTCTCTTAACCTCTTGCCGTCCGCCCGTAGTAAAAAAACGGACGGACGGCACTGCTACATCTGCGGGTTGCCGTCTCCAGACGGCAATTTTTTTCTGCTCGCGCGCGCCCCCTAGCGGGCACGCACGGGCAGAAAAGACCCGACGATTAAACACACCCGTTACCGGGTGTTTCACATATAGGCGATCAGCGGGAGGTATAAAATTCATTTCAGTACAGCGCTGCATGACGGAATAAATGTCAGTCAAAGTACCGCAGCGCTGAATACTGAAAAATGGCCTGGATGGGAAGGGGGTTTAACACCGCGGATGTCAACTGGTTAAAGCCCTCTGCCGAGGGGGCCACTCAAGTTGTCCTCCCTGTATTCACTCCATTGACTCTCTTTAGTTCTGTTGGCTCTGCAGATGCCTCCCTTTTAACCTCAGAGACATTCCTCTGACCTTACTCACAAGTTTGCCTTGCTCATTGCCATTACTTCTGCTAGGGCTTGGTGACCTTGACTTTGGTTATTCACAAGGATAACCACAAGATAGTGCTGAGACCTAAGGCCTCTTTTCTTCATAAGGTGGTCTCTGCCTTCCACTCTAACCGGGACATGGTTTTACCATCTTTGTGTCCTGCATCAAAACAGCCTAATAAAGGTTCTCTCCACTGTTTGGACATGATTGTGGTGTAAGGTTACATAGTTACATAGTATTTGAGGTTGAATAAAGACATTAGTCCATCAAGTCCAACCTATTAGGATCATGTATTAGTATGTATACGAACACCCAGGTCCGAGTATATAGTGTTGTTGCGTTTCACTTATAGAAACCGCCTTTCCCTTAAGGCTAGTGCACCTACTGGTACTTGGATGTCCCAAGGATTTAAACTATATACTCTGGAGCAGTGGTTCTCAACCTGTGTAACCTCGGGACCCACATGTTTCCTTGGTCATTAAGGCGTAGTATATAGTTTAAGTCCATTTGGGACAGCCTGCTTCTTGTTCCACTGGCTTTGATAAAAATAAAGGATATAGTTCACTCTGTTCCAGTAATTGTGCATGCTACCTGGAGCTTCAGGGCTTGTTCACACCAAATGCAGACCAGATCTGCATGAGTTTCTGTATACGCAGTGCAGTGTGTTATACTGCGTTTTTTGCCACGTTTTTGATGCGTTCCGGGCTGTGCTTTTTTAAAGTTTAGAATGGGCTTTCAGTGCGTTCCAGGGCGTGTGCATGCGTTTTTGATGCGTTTGCGCAATTTATACTATAGACTAATATGTACAGACAAGCTGCTATGGTCACGGGCCACCCCTGTACAATTGGTACCTTCCTGTGAACGTGCAGGAAGAGTTTTTTTTTTTTTCAAAGAGCGGAGCACAGCTGCAGGTGGGGGGTTTGCACGGATTCACACTGGGGTGACATAAAATATGATCAGATGCATGACCAATGGAAGACACACTGTGTGGATCTTTACTTTTTAAATTAAAGATTCCCCCAGCCCAAGAGCCCTTATTGAGCCCCCCCAGAGCCCACACTGACCTCCACACTGACCACCCAGAGCCCACACTTACCACCTCACTGACCTCCCAAATCTAGCCCTGACCACCCAAAGCCTGCACTGACCACCCAAAGCCTACACTGACCACCCAAAGCCTACACTGACCACCCAAAGCCTACAAGCCTACACTGACCATTGCATTGACCACCCAATGCCCACACTGACCACCCAGAGCCTGCACTGACCACCGCACTGGCCACCTTAGAGCCTGAATGGCCTCCTGCCAGCCAGCACAGCTCCCCCCTGAAACCCCGCACAGCCCTCCCGAGACCCTGGAGAACACAGAGTATGTAGCTTCATAGTATTCTGAATTGCTGTATAAAGTATTGCTGGGATTTGTAGTCCTCTATAGCTGATGGTAATTTTCCACAGTGCTTAACAATATATTGCTGGGATTTGTAGTCCTATAGTATGTGGTATTCTGCATTGCTGTGTAATTTATTGCTTGGTTTTGCAGTACTCCATAGTTGGTGGTATTCTGCATTGCTGTGTAATTTATTGCTGGGATTTTTAGTCCTTTGTAGTCTGTATTGCTGTATAATGTATTACTGGGATTTGTAGTCCTTCTATAGTTGGCAGTATTCTGAATTGCTGTGTAATTTATTGCTGAGATTTGTAGTCCTCTATAGTTGGTGGTATTATTCTGCATTGCTGTACAATGTATTACTGGGATTTGTAGTCCCCTATAGTTGGCATTATTCTGCATTACTGTATAATGTATTACTGAGATTTGTAGTCTCTCTACAACTTGGAGTCAGTAGCAGATCTGCCAGGGTCTCAGCTGCAACTGGGCCCTGGTGCTCCACCACTGATTCCAAGCTGTAGAGAGACTACAAAACACAGCCCGGAGAGGAGGAAGAGGGCCCTGGTAACCGTTGACATTTCCAAAAAAGCCCACCAAAATCCTCAGCACTAGGCCCGTGATGCTCTTAATCCAGCCTGGGGGCCCAGGTCTAAAGCTGTGTAAGGGGCCCCAAATTTTCTGATAGCTGCAGTGCAGGGATGCCATACCAGCTTTAATTTGCTAGTGTCTAATCATCTAAAGGTAACGGTGTAACTCCTTGTTACACAAGATTTAACTCCTTACATACTGTAATTTAGTCCATGAAACTGATTTTACAGGCAAGACAAAAATTCCTTTTATATGGCAAACAATTTATATTGAGTATAAGTAGTTATTGGCTAAAGTTAAATACACATTTGTTAACTTTTTTCTTAATTTAGGCCACAGATACAGAAACAAAGGTCAGAGTATGCACTAGGGCTTATAACCTTTTGGTTGATGAACTGAATTTTAATCCCAATGATATCATTTTTGACCCAAACATCTTGACAATTGGAACTGGCATGGAGGAGCATGACAATTATGCCATGAACTTTATTGAAGCTACCAAAATTATAAAGGTGAGTTTGCTATCAATGTTGTTCAAGCTGAATTGGATACTTTTCTGCTCTCTGTTCTTTCAGTTTAAATCTGCTAAATACATTCCAGATACAAACTGACCACCCAAAGCCTACAAGCCTACACTGACCATTGCATTGACCACCCAATGCCCACACTGACCACCCAGAGCCTGCACTGACCACCGCACTGGCCACCTTAGAGCCTGAATGGCCTCCTGCCAGCCAGCACAGCTCCCCCCTGAAACCCCGCACAGCCCTCCCGAGACCCTGGAGAACACAGAGTATGTAGCTTCATAGTATTCTGAATTGCTGTATAAAGTATTGCTGGGATTTGTAGTCCTCTATAGCTGATGGTAATTTTCCACAGTGCTTAACAATATATTGCTGGGATTTGTAGTCCTATAGTATGTGGTATTCTGCATTGCTGTGTAATTTATTGCTTGGTTTTGCAGTACTCCATAGTTGGTGGTATTCTGCATTGCTGTGTAATTTATTGCTGGGATTTTTAGTCCTTTGTAGTCTGTATTGCTGTATAATGTATTACTGGGATTTGTAGTCCTTCTATAGTTGGCAGTATTCTGAATTGCTGTGTAATTTATTGCTGAGATTTGTAGTCCTCTATAGTTGGTGGTATTATTCTGCATTGCTGTACAATGTATTACTGGGATTTGTAGTCCCCTATAGTTGGCATTATTCTGCATTACTGTATAATGTATTACTGAGATTTGTAGTCTCTCTACAACTTGGAGTCAGTAGCAGATCTGCCAGGGTCTCAGCTGCAACTGGGCCCTGGTGCTCCACCACTGATTCCAAGCTGTAGAGAGACTACAAAACACAGCCCGGAGAGGAGGAAGAGGGCCCTGGTAACCGTTGACATTTCCAAAAAAGCCCACCAAAATCCTCAGCACTAGGCCCGTGATGCTCTTAATCCAGCCTGGGGGCCCAGGTCTAAAGCTGTGTAAGGGGCCCCAAATTTTCTGATAGCTGCAGTGCAGGGATGCCATACCAGCTTTAATTTGCTAGTGTCTAATCATCTAAAGGTAACGGTGTAACTCCTTGTTACACAAGATTTAACTCCTTACATACTGTAATTTAGTCCATGAAACTGATTTTACAGGCAAGACAAAAATTCCTTTTATATGGCAAACAATTTATATTGAGTATAAGTAGTTATTGGCTAAAGTTAAATACACATTTGTTAACTTTTTTCTTAATTTAGGCCACAGATACAGAAACAAAGGTCAGAGTATGCACTAGGGCTTATAACCTTTTGGTTGATGAACTGAATTTTAATCCCAATGATATCATTTTTGACCCAAACATCTTGACAATTGGAACTGGCATGGAGGAGCATGACAATTATGCCATGAACTTTATTGAAGCTACCAAAATTATAAAGGTGAGTTTGCTATCAATGTTGTTCAAGCTGAATTGGATACTTTTCTGCTCTCTGTTCTTTCAGTTTAAATCTGCTAAATACATTCCAGATACATAAAAACAACAAAAGTTGTGCTTAAGGTAGCCATACAGTATGCAAATTTCTTGATGAACTGGCCATAAAATTCACACAGTGGGTGCCGCTCTTAGCACCCTTTCAGCTGGCATCCCTCAATCAGCTGATCAAAGGAGTTGGTAGGAAAATATTTGAACAGATGAACTGCTTGGTCTGCTCAGGTATTCTGACATCGGCCGCTGTCGTAATACAAAGGAAGCAGTGAGACAACGCTTGTAAGCGTTGATGGAGGAATCTATTTTCTCCATTCAGCCCACAGGTTGAAGGAAGAAAATATTACAGTTTATGGCCAGCTTTAGTCTTAAAGTTACTTTTCTTAAGAAAGCAGATGCCTGCTTAGTACAGAAGTCTTCCCCCTGTCAGCTATAGAGAAGGATCCGTGTTCCCATGTATTTTGGTCTCTCTGCAGAGGTGTGATTGCAGAGATATAGGTTTAACTCAGCTGGAGGTATGTTGGACCTCTTCCTTCACAGTCCCTTTACTGCAGCATGCAGCCAGAGTCAGGCTTTTCTAATCAAACTGTGGCTACTTTCTGAAAACATAGATTGTAAGACTTTGCAAACCTTGCGTTTTGATGCACCTGGAATATATTTAACTGACAAACTGAAAGTTGAGTTGGGCTTTTTAGAAGGTGTGTGTGTGTGGAGTAAGTCTGTCCTATAACTCATTTGGCAGTCTGTGTAATCTGATCGCCATGCTATTCAACTCTGTTTTATCGCAAAGCTGTAAGTTATCCTTCAGAAATCTAATGTTCTTTCTTGAAACTCACCATCTGCCGACTACTGATTACAAATAACAAGTTGTTTATGTGAAATAATAATGCACAATCTTTCATATTTACCTTTTTTAACTTTTAACTGATCTTTTCCCTACCACTGCTGTAACTGTGTAATGGCAGGTGAGTGTGGATAAACATAAATATGGCTGCAATGATGGCCATACATTTTTCTTTTTATGCCCCTGTTTGTTAATTTTATTGTAAAAGTGATCTAAGTGACTGTAGAGCCACCTGATCACTTCTACATTTTAGTGGCTATTTATGTGGTACAGTGCATACTTCCACCTCCTTCCAGCTCGGTACCAGGGTTCATCTGACTTCTTCATGCGTCTGGGACTGGTGCAGTGAACTTCAGAATGAGCAAGCATTTCCAGGTGGTGGTGGAGATCAGGTAACAACTATGAGCACTTCCATATTAGGGCTGTCCAGAACGGCTGCCTGGTATACAAACGGATAGGGGACTCTGGGTCCCTTATCTGTTTGGCTGGTGACAGGGAAGGCATCAGACATCTAATAGACTCTAGATGTCTCAACAAAGGGGGCTTGTCACTACTATCACATAGGGGGCAGCATATCAGCCTCTTTGCAATAGTAGCAAAAATAAGTTAAGTAAAAAATGTTTTTTCTTTTAAAGCCAATACAAAAGATCACACTTTCCACATGCCTATGCACACATAATGTACACATAACCAGTCACACACATACAGTACATGCATAAATGCCTGTTACACAAATAGACATTGCCGCACTGACAGAAGTAGAGAAATAATTTCTCGATATTTAAGAAAGGGACACAGCTCTTATTCATTAGATATGTAGGATTATATACATATCCAAAAAAGTGTAAGGTTAAATGGGGTTTTCACTGTGCATAGAGAAGTGGATGTTTGTATATCATATGTAGCGCCCTCTAAAATGTCGCTATTCAATTTAGAGATACCTGGACTGTAACCAGTCTGGATACTGATTATGCAGAGCTCTGCATTCTATGAGTGTCCCTGAATCTGCTGGATTGATTGCTCCTCCTGTTGCTGAGGAAAAGGGAGCCTTGGAATACAGTGAGGGAGGATCCATCCTCAGGTTATGACCATGCACCTGACCCTAGCCAATCCCTTAGTAGGATGACTCAGAGGCATGGTTGAGGGCAGGTAATAAAAGGTCTGGGGACACTGTGCAGAGGTCTCTTTCCCCTAAGGGCCTCGCCCTAGGAGGTCTGTGGAGATGCAAGAAACTGGCCTGGGCCTCAGCACATGGAAGGTGCTGAGGGGCCTAGAGGCCTAGGATACACTGATACTTTGGTGGGCCCATACACGTGGCAGGTGATGGGTGCCTTGTTCTAAGACGATACTACCACTAACCTGGAGTGCTCCTTGGCAGTTGCAGATGCTGAGGGCACAGAGATTCCAGATCCTGAAGAGGAAAATACCTGATGGAAGCTGGGTCGGAGGGAGAGTCTGCTTGTTGAAGGGTACCGCAGAGGAGCTGGTGCGAGCGTCCGTCTGGGACTCACAAGGGAGATCCCTCACCCTATTCCAGGTATATGTTCGAGAAGAAGCCAAGGGTCCTTACCTAAGTCAAGAGATAGCTAACCTTCTCCATATAAGCTACTGGATCATCCTGGCTGTTCGCAGTATTGTTGCTACTATTGGTCTTTGGGACCAGATCACAGTGATTTCAGCCTTAGCTGTTACTAAGGGAGAAAGCTGTCCTCCGAAGTATTTCTAAGGGCATCCTACAGATCCTAAACCCTCTCTCTCCTGTTGAAACTTGCAAATAAATATCCCAAAAGAACCCTAAGACTCCAGCCATTCTGTCCGTGAGTGTTGGTGTGCTGTTGCTGATCAAAGGGGGACCGTTAGCTGGAACCAACAGGTAGGAGAACCTATTTCATCATTCAGCGGCTCCTTCGGGGGTGAGCGCTACACGTGGGGGCTCCTCCGGGATTCTCCTGACCTAGTTTATGCTGCCGTTGCCCCTAGCAACCGACTGAAGATTTTGCGTTTTCCAGTATTTTTGTGAACTGTCTTTTTGGGGAACCCAAGAAAGGACTGTTGCAGAGTATATTGATGTGAAAGAGCCATATTTCGACAAGAGAGAGGGTCTTCTAGCACCTATTCACTTTCTGCCAGCAACCCGAGGGTTAATTGTGCAGGAAACTTTCTGGCGGGAAGCTGTGGCGCCAGAGCGGTGATAAGAAGGCGGAGCTACTGACCTGTGCGTACGTGAGCAGTCTGCAGGGGAAGACGGCCCACGTGGAGCAGGAGAGATGGCGCAATACAGCTTCATGGAAAGTTCAATAATTTCCAAGCCCACCGGACTCAATGCACCTATGTATGAGTCGATGGAATGGAGAAATGAGTTCCAGTTTACCCAGCTAACTGACACCGGAGTGAGGATGTCCCTCAGAGGTGAAGTGGCGTTATGGAGCATCAGAGGAACCGAGCACCTGGCCGTTACCTGCAGAAAGTGCGGAAAACTCTCTGCACTCATCAAAGCATGGAGTTGCTGTGACCGTTGTGGAGATTGCCTCATGGAACACATCGCATCGGACCTACCACCGAGTGTCTACCGGGTGGATTGGGGGACCGGACACTGTGAGGAGGCGAAGGAATTGAGCGGACCCGCGGCTGTCAGGTACCTGCCTCAACTTCCGTCCACTACCAAATCGACTGATGCCGACAACAGTGACAGTTCGTCTACACAAGGGCA